TGTATATATGTTAGGAAGGGTACCAAATTCCTCTGGCAGTATTTAATTGACTGCATTATGTATATAATGTGAACAGTGGCCTTGGTCATGCCTGTTACCCAAGTGAGTAGTTTGACACACATGAACTTTCAGCTCAGGTGAATTCCACAATGTCCAAGTGTCTTCCATATCCTGCGAGTTACGGGGGCTCCAAGCTCATGTGGGTATTCACACTGTGTATATAACTGCGGGACTTGAGTATAGGCATGGACTGAAGTATGTGCTTCAGGGACATCTTAAAGTGAGACTTAGTATGAGGAAAGATGGAATTTATTTTTAAACCTACGGTGTGTACTACTTATTTCAAATCGTCATTGTGCATATTCAAACTTTGCCCTTAGTTTTAAATGAGCAATGTTTTACTAATAAACCCATGCTTTTGAACATGTAAGTGCAGAAGACCTATCTAAACAGGCACATGTGTTGTTTTGATTTTATATTGAGCATCTTAAAATCAACAGTACCTTCTTCTGAATAGTCAGGATTTCTAAGGATTTCTTAAATACTTGTGACCTGAAACCTACACCTGCTTTCATTAGTTCCGCTGAGGTTGAGAATCTAACATTTAACTTGTTTGAAATTAAGCAAAAGAAATGCAGAGGTGAAAAAAATCCTCTGATTTATTTTTTTCCCTGTGGAAATTACTTATTCTGACTATACATGGTCTTTAGAATCTTTTACACAACAGAAATGAAGCACTATAAACCTTTAAAATAGGTCAAAATCTTACTAATTATTGCTTTAATTAGTGAAGGCCAAATCATCTTTTTTTAGTATTTTTTCAGTTTAGTAGAAGTGAGAGATATCCCAATTTTGTTAACTTTGAGAAAGCTGTGCCCTTGATTTTTAAAGGACTTCACTCAGTCTATCAGATTACCTGGAAAGTACATATGGTAGAAAATATAAAGGAGGTACTTTTAATTTTTCTATCATATCTACTTATTTTGTTTTGTCATTAGTGAACCGAACATATATGTCCCAAAGAAAGAATGAATAGTGAAAAATTCTTAATTAGGTTTGAAAAACAATACTTTCCAGGTAAGAGCTTTTTAGTGACCTACTTCCTCATTGGGAAATGTTTTCTCAGTTAATTGCCTCATACTCTGAATAAGCAACTGTAAATCAAAGTATAGCTTTTGAATGGCCCAAAATACTTTAAATGCTTCTAATATATCTAGCTAGTGATATGCGAATGTTGTATGGGGAAAATTTTAGGTTCAGAAAACAATGAAAAGCTATTTCACTCAAGTATTTGTAAAAAGACATGTAACAGTGCTGTGCCATAATCCTCGAAAGTAGGAATGACCTATGTGTGTTAGGCTTTTCCCCATTCCAGGCACTGTAAAAGTATCATCAGAGAGTTCTGTAATTCTTTGCTGTAATTTCCAAGACAGGAATGCTGTTGACTTGCTTTCTAAAAATCCTTACCTGCTCCATAGATTAAGATCACTTTAAAAGTACACTTCAGTTAATAGAATATTTCATCATGTATTGTCTTGTACAAAACATGAAATACTATTAGCATCTGTGTTAATAATCTTGTATTAAAGTATCTTTATACAAGTATTATGTCTATATTTAAGATAGTATTATTTAACAAGCATCCTGCACTGTCACAGTCTAATATAACAGTGCATGAGGTTAATTTGGTGGCTTCCTGGTGCTAACAGTAAATCATATTGTCTTTAAGTTATACTTTCAAATATTTTATAGCAGCACTATATTTCAAATTTGGTATTTTGCACCTGTTTTCTGACTGTGGCACTTCTCTAGAGTAGTCAGATATTTTAGGGCTACTTCAGACACACAAAGATTTAATTTAAAAAAGTACTATGCTCTATTCCCACCATGCTATTTAGCAGCACCCAATTAAGAGAGAATTAATTCATGTTTGAGTGCGAATTATTATCTGCTACTATCTCACTACATAGTTATTGCAGTAATTTATCCATATCAAAGGAGCTAAGTAATACAAAAGAAATGAAAGGAAGTTTGTGCAGAGTGTGAAATGAATGCCATGTCATACCTTGCTGGTTGTTTCATACCCTTCTTTGCACTGTAGCAGCCACAATCACGCACTAGGCCTTGCAGCGTGGGACGTGGGCTTCTCCTCTGCGTCTCTCAGTGGAGGTGGCTAAGATCCCGTTCTGGGGCAAGTCACTGCAGGGTGCAGGCAGTGGGAGAGCGCTCGTTCAGCCAGAGAGCTTACTTTGCTTGTCGCCTCACTTACCTGTGCTCTGCACCTTTCTTCATCACTGCCTTGAATATAGGAGCACATGTGAAATGAAATAAAATATTGGCATTTAATCATCCCGATTTGTAAGCTGAATGAAAGGTCAGTTTTAACGTTTTGAAGAAGACTGGCTCGTCCTTCTCACTGGGCAACATCTTGACTTCGCCTCTTGCTCTATGCAGGATCGCTTTTCCCTGGATGAAACTGATGAAGTAGATACCAAACAGAGGTCAGGCCATTCCAGAGAGAAGACCGAGGAGATATCTCTTCCTGATGCCCCAGTCTTGCTCAGTAGCCCTAGTAGGCAAGCAGTACCCCATTTCCCTTAATATTTTTGTGTCACAAGCCATAGCACTTTAATGTCTACGAGAGGGGCAGCCTCCTGTATAAATGGGCAGGCTTACCTTATCACACTCTAAATTACAAAAATATTTACGTGCGTTTAATGTTGCCAGGTTAAAGCTTATTTTTAATTCTTAGTGTTACTTCTAAATGGCTACTACCGTCGTGCCCGCAGCGCGGCCGCC